GAGGTGACATGACCTCAGATATCAATCTGAGGTCAGGTCTCAGTTATTCCACCAACAGGAGCTCACTATCGTCTAAAGTGTTTACATTATAGTGTAAATAGATTTCCCTTCGTAAGAATTACACATCAGGAGAAACACAACCAGACCAAAAGGATGTGGATTTGTTAAACACATTAGTCATAATGTATTATTTGCAGGGTGAACATTGTCCCTCAACCTTAGTGAGTTCCTACATTACCCAGAATGCTCTTCTGTCTGCTAGAAGGGACATGAGTCTTCACAATGTGACATGCAGTAAACACTAAGGCTAGGAACTGAACCTCAGTATGTTTTCTGTCTGAAATACACCTGTAGTCTGTTTGATCAGATAGTTTATTTAAATCATAAAGATGACAGTTTTTAGACTATTTCATTTAGACAAACTTCTTTGTACTCATGTAATTTATGTTAACTGTTGCAAAAATGTGGCTCCCACACCTTCAGCCAATGTTGGGATACTACATGTCCCCAGATCTTCTCTGTTCATCAGTTTGTGTGACTAAACACAACTTCTTTCAACAATATGCAACATAGATGGCTCCCTCTGTAGGACAGGGGCCACAACATTATCTAATGACCTGTGTTTGTTTGTACTGTACATTAGAGTTTAATTCACTAACATATAATAATTCTAATATTTATGTATAAACAATCTATCAAACACCAAAGAACAATTGAAATGCAGCAAAAACGTTACTTCAGGGGCCCCTGGAGGTCTGGGCCCTGCTTTGCCAACTTGTTGTTTGCCAATTCAGCCTTGATGGTGTCAGTACTATTATAGAAAATGTTCAAACGATACGTTGCCCCAATAAACAACACACACACACACAACATACACGTCAACACACCATTAAGCATTTCCAATCACACCCGGAGTCAGAATCATTTTGTCCTCTAGCTGCTCTCTTCTCTCTTCTTTAAGTCGTTTCCTCTGTCATGAATCCACAGAGGCTGCAGCTGATCACACTGATTTATACGCACCAGCAGACACTCTTCATCATAATTAATAACCCTGCAGTTCAAAGCTATCTGTTACTGAACCACAGGAGAGCTGCAGGCTGAGCACTGCAGCTTAGAGCATACATGCAGCCATCACAAACACACGCACACACACACAAACACACAAAGCTTGCAAGTTAAAAAGCTCTTGGCTGTTAAACCATGAGAGACTTGCTGAGCCTGACAGATTTAACCCTGCTCAGGATTAACCCATAAAATTATCTTGGTACCCAGGCCGTCGCCTCTGAGAAAAAGACGGTAAAAAAAACAACAACAAAGAAAATTGAACAGGGATTTTTTTTTCTCCTCTCTGTCACGAATCAGAACAATTCACGGCTCCTTTCTCTTCTCGTTGGCCACATGTGCCAACAGCTGTGATCTGTCATCGGCTCGTCAGGCAGCAAGTCACATCAGGGTTAATAGATGCATGTTAAGAGTTTAAATCTGCACAACATGCAGGAGGAGAAGCAGCGGGCTGAGTGATGAAAGGTATTAAAAAAAGGGACGAGAAGGAGATTAAGACGGAGGGAAAGCTACAGCAGAGGAAGGTGAAGTGGGAAGCACATAGTAACAGTGAGAGATGGAAACGAGTCGACTGATCATGTTGTCTGCAAGTTCATATTTAAGAGCTTTAATATGGTTTTTAGTTCAAGATTAAAGCTGGCCATATTTTATGTTACTGTCAACACATCCCTGTGTTTGTCCTGCTCTGTGTGTGGCACTCAAACCTCCACTGGCTCCTACTGAAAACATAAAAACTTTAAAAACGTCTCAGAAATATTTAATTTAATTTATAAACACGGCTCAGTGATTTTCTATAATAGCTTCCTTACTTACAGCTCCATACTTGATATCCATCTTCTAATCTCACTCTCAGGCAGAAAAATCTTACTACGTACAACTCTCAGTAGTTTAATATCTTCTAAACTAATTAATTACCAATTAATGCAAACCGGGTAAAATGTTCAGATTAAAAGCTTTCTACTGGAAACCCTTTGGGAGGCTTTTATTAGCAAACAGCCACAGAAAAAGCTTTTTTTTATTTTATTATATCTGATTTTATTTTGTCAGCTGATCAGTTTGATTTATTATCAGATATTGTTGGCTGCTCACAGGTTGGCTTGGTGTGAGTATCCTCCATTAGAGAATAATATGACTAAATTAGGGATCGTATCACCCTAGATGTCATCCGATATGTGTCATTATGAAAACGTTTTTGGTATATAATGCTTGTAGTCTTTACAGTACTGATGTTTAGTTATTTATTTGATTTTTTATTTATTATTTTTCTCAGTGTTCATTTCTGGTCATTTAACCTGTATGTTAAAATATACAATTTAGACTATTTACTATTTATTTTAGACTTAAATATTGTATAATAAAGTTATTTTACTATTTCTGAGTACCTTTGCAGAGTCACATTGGCTTCCAGTTCAAAAATGTACTATATCGGCCACATTATTAGTAATTGGTTTATACTAAATGTCTTTTGGCATTATGGAAGGCTAAAATACTAATCCTGATTCAATACCTTTGTTATTTACAATAAACGACTTGGAGCCATCAGTCACATCAGTTCTAAGTGTTATGTAAATTGTAGAAAAAGTGCATGTAAATGTATGTAAATTACAATAATATTATGATGAATCGTTATAATAATAGCTAAGATAATCATTCAGATTCAGGATATGCAGACACCTGCTGATGGCAGAAACAGTGGGAGGGATTAATGTTGGTGAGTCATGCAGTGTTCAGCGTTTCATGCAGATCAAACAGAGAGAGAAAAAAAGAGTCCAGCCGGGTGAAGTGAGTTGTTAGCTGGCCTCAGGTCACCGACTCACTGCCTGCAGTAGAGGAGGAAGCAGCAGCAGCAGGGGGTGGAGCCCCAGCCGAGTTGGTGAGAGAGGAGGAGGAGCTAAGCCCTACGTGGGTGGGGCTAGAGAGAGTTTTGGCGGCAGTGGCGTCATTGTGCTGGCTGACGACGGACGGCTGGCGGCGCAGGGCACCGGGCACCGGTGCCTGGCCCGTCTGGAAGGTATAGACCACATCCATCTAAAGGAAGGACAGCCACAAAAGACTGTTAGATAGCAAGAGAGACAGAGCGAGGAGACAGGGCAGAGGAAACAGGAAGGGAGGAAAAGACTTCTGGAGAGGTTAGAGAGGCTTTAAAAGAGGCTGCATGGTGAAGTCTGACAGTTTTGGCCTTTGAAGGTCAGTACTCATATTTCTTGTGAACCAGACAGAAAGAAATTGCTGCTTTAAAAACATCAATTTTAACTTTTAAAAAGTCAGTCGTTTTTTTTGTTGGTCATAAAGAGGTTTGAGGAACCGTGTTCACTATGGCTGGGTATCAAACTGGCACTGAATACTTTATCAGAGTCTGTTTACCTCTTTGATCAGACACCAGGTTTTAACATGTCTGTTGCTTTTTGATGAACAACTCGAGATAAGAAGAGGAGGCTTGTTAGGTTGAATTTTATTCTGGATTGTGTTAAAACCAGATCCAGATGATTACTGACACCTGAGATCTGATCACAATGTGAACCAGACCACCTCCAGATGTGATCAGATCTGACTGTTATGTGCTCTGCTGCATTTACATCTGCATTACCATGAGTTGTTCCTATTCCAGATAAAATACCCAGATACAGATCATATGTTGATACCAGTTTGAAGTCATATTTCCAGATTTAAATACTTTATATAATCTTAGACGTTTTTGTAGTTCTTATGTTTTTGGCAGAAAGAGGACACAGCAGCATGAAGAGAATAAGAGAGATTCTTGTTTCATTTAAAAGAGCATTATGGTGGGATTTTGCACATTTTACATAATCCATCTTCCCATAGGATAACCTACACAGTGGCCATCTGTTCTGCAGCAGAAACACATTGTCATCAAGTTGATAGAAAGTGGGAACAGAGACACAGAAGAACGTGAGACTGAAACAAAGACGAGAAGAAGTGGATGAGGGAGAGATCGGGAGTGAGGAGACGAGGAGGAAAGTTTGAGAGAAAGAGCATTCAGAGAGAGAAAGCTGTCATTTAGTTAGCGAAAGACAAAATGTGAAATTCTAGAAGAAGCTCCAACAGAACGAAGGGATGAAGGAAGAAACGGAACAATGAATAAAGAGCTTTTGAATCAGGCTGAAAGCACTTTGAGGAGAAATTGTGTCACTTGGAACGACTGATAAAGTTTCAGGAGCGAGGTGCTGCTTGTACCAATTATTCCCCCACTGTGTTTGACTGTTGAGGCGTTGAGCGGCACAACGCTGCCCACCAGGATTAGAGAGGAGGAGGACAGGAAGAGGAGCGTGGAGAGATAAGAACCTAATTAGCTTGCAGCCTTTCGTTGCCTCCCCCTCCGTCCTCCCATCCTCCCATCCCAGGAGGATGACAGGCTGATATTACAGATACACAGGCATGAAGACAAAAGAGAGAGCTTCCTCTTTTCTTTACAATGAGTCTGATGTTGGAGAAAACACAAGATGGGAAGAGCTTTGTTTCAGTTCCTCCTCGCATCACTTCCTTCTTTCACAGCACTCTGCGGCTTCATGAAGGCCACGTGAAGGTTATTTTCTGACACTTCTAAATCAGGGTTTCCACTGGAACTGAAACCAAGGCTGCACCCACCTGTCCATTTAGTAGCTACTGATCACATGATCTTAATCAGCAGATGAGAGTTTCCAAGTTGTCATGAAATTGCAGATGTTTAAATTTCCATTTCTTTCCAGCAGATCAATAAAAAGCTCAGCTTGAGCGTGTGTCCTGCCATATGTCGTTTCCTTAAAGAGGATACAAAACGGTGTGTTTTAAAATCTCCTCTAACCTGCCTCTGACTGACTGACTTCTTTTGATGTAGCATGACACTCGAGCCGGAGTCTGCACACATGCATTTTATTTCGAAAATTAACTGGATTCTCTATGCAAGTGGGTCGCGGCTTCCTTCAAAAATTGTCCAGCCGTGTGTCTCTCTGCTGCTTGGTGCTGAGCAGTTGTATTGCACAGTGGGTTTTTAAAACAATGCTATGAGAGCAGTGAGACTGAAAGAGAAAAGTTGAAACCGAACAGCTAAACAGTGAATCAGAATCAGCCACAGATTCGGGGGATAATTAACTGTAGGACCCTTTTCATTGTGGCAGAGATGATCATACTTATCCTGCTGTTTTATTTTTTTGAGGCTATGTACACTGAACTCTCTGGTGAACCCAGTCTGCAGCCTTGCGTCATGATTCACTCTGTCTGGTGTTCGAGTCGGTGGTTATATGTTCTGGTGGCGCGGTAACGAGAATATTCATTGACAAAAGAACAGGAAAAGTCTAGCTTGAAAAGCCGCTGCTGCAGCCTAAAACCCACGTTAACAGAATCCCCAAATATTCATTCCTAAATTTACATCCGCGATCAATACGAATAAAACATAAATGCATCCTACCTAGAGGGGGAACCCACTGCCTGTTTCCTATCACACTGTGACCTACTGAGGAGGTGCAGAGAGGGATCAGACCCTAACTGGATGAGTTGAGGTCAGCAACGCCACTGAGAGAGAGTGAGCCTTCCCGGAGCTGCAATGTTGGGTACCTTTGTCTGGGCAAGTAAATTCAGTATTCACATGCAACACAGGCGCTTAAAGAAAACCGCAACATACGACACGAACAAGAGAAGAAATTTTTTTTTAACATTTGAACTGTGAAGATGTGTAGATACCCCTCACAGAATTCTGAGGAGTTTAATCAACATCCATGTAACAAATCTAATCTAGAGGATTTTTTTTAAACAAAACAACAAAACAAGAAAAAAAAGGTTAAATTTTTGCATTTCGCTAAAATCTTATGACACCAACCCGGTGTTCGCTGTGCTACAGACGGAGCGAACCAAGCGTATGTACAGTGAGAATCATCTGCTCTCTTTGAAAGTTCGGTGCACTTTCCTGAGAGCGTATACGCAGGAATGAACGGTACAGAGAACACAAATGCGGCTAGCGAGACCCCGCAAGGTCGAAACCTCAACATACTTCGATACGCATTTTGCAAAAAGGATCATCCAAGTAAAAATATACCCATTGAATGGACAAAGGACAGGCTTCCTACAGTGGACTCCTGGACTCACACTCTACTAATTTGACTAATGAGTGTGGATGGTTGTCGGAGGGACAACTTACAGGAAACGAACGATGCAAACGATTCTCGAAAAACCACGAAGTGGCAGACTGAATGGGGGGGTGAAGACGAGTGTGAAGCACTGTGTGTACGCAGGAATGAGAGGAGTGGAGCGGCAAGTCACGACTCTCCTCCCTCAATGCCGCAGTCCTCACCCCTACCTCTCGCGCTGGAGCATGACCAGAATGGACTACCGAAAGAGGAGGGAGAGGACGAAGGGGGGCGAGGGAGGAGAGCTAGATGGATGACTCGCGGCGAGGGGGAAGGCGCTGGCGGCCTCCTCTCCCACCGCCCAGAGGAAGGCGCCAGGGGGGGGTCGATCTCTTTCTCCAGAACTCATCGATGGGGGGGATGCGAGCATCCTCATCGGCAGGGGGACGAACTCGGGTGGGCATGAACTGTGGAATGGAAGATACGGGACTCTTGGGCTTCTCCAGCCCGCGTACAGGGAGCTACGGAACGCGTTCACCCACATTATCTGAAACAAAGACAGGAGGAGACATCAGAGGATGAGAGATCGACGATACAGGTCCCATTTTTATGAATGTCAAACAACGTGGTCGTGCGGGCTGATCTGGGCGCGGGGGGTGAAGGTGCAAACCACAACACACAAAGTTAATCAAGTGACAGCTGGATGGAACATGGCGGGAAGAACGAAATCATAAATTCCCAAACTCAACAATAAAAAGGTAAAAATGAAATAAAGGTCAAATGATGTGGAGCAGCGAGTGCAGGAAAGACAAACTACAACAATCCACCACAGGTGGAAAATGTGGAGGAGGCAATCAGATCACCATGGCTACACAACCACACAAAACTCACTCATCGTGTGTCTTCATCACTCATAATTTCCTCCTCTCATCCTGCAGAGGTTCACTGCGCTCTTTCACCACCTTAAATTCACACTGTTGTCCAAAGCCTGTGGACACCTGAACATCCTTCCCTATACATGATAGTTGAGGAAGTCAAAGGGCATTATCTTCTGCTATAACAACTCCACTGTTCTGGTTTTCAATTCAAGAATTCATTTTCCTTTTTTTCCTCGAGATTTTGGAACTATGGCTTCCAGGGATTCTGCTCCATCTCAGTCACAAGAGGTGTCAGTGAGGTCCAACACTGATTTTGGTAGAAAATTAGCTCACAGTTGGAATCTGAGGTGAATGAACCTCAGAATATCCAATCTGAGGTAGGTCTCAGTTTTCATACCCACAGGAGCTCACTCTACGTGCTAAAGTGTATTACATTATAGGTGTAAATAGATTTCCTTGTAAGATTACTCAGGACAACACACCACGACAAGGATGTGGATTTGGGTTAACAACATTAGTCATAATGTATTATTTGCAGGTGAACATTGCCCTCACATTAGTGAGTTCTACATTACCACAGAATGCTTCTTGTCTGTAAGAGGGACTGAGTCTTCACAATGTGACATGAGTACACACTAAGGCTAGGAACTGAACCTCAGTAATGTTTTCTGTCTGAAATAACCTTAGTCTGTTTGATCAGATAGTATTTATTTAAATCTAAGATGACAGTTTTTAGACTTTTCATTTTAGCAACTGTCTTTGTATAATCATGTAATTTAATGTTAACTGTTGAAAAATGTGGCTCCACACCTTCAGCCAATGTTGGGATATACTGTACCAGTCTTCTCTGTTCATCAGTTTGTGTGACTAAACACAACTTCTTTCAAAAATCTGCAACCTAGATGGCTCCCTCCTGTAGGCAGGGGCCACAACACTTATCTAATGACTGTGTTTTTTGTACTGTACATTAGCCGATCTTATTCACTAAATTAATAATTCTATATTTTGTTAAAAATCTATCAAACAACAAAAGAACAATCTTGAAATGCAGCAAAACGTTACTATCAGGGGCCTGGAGTTGGGCCCTGCT